AGCTCAAGTGTGATATAGTTTTTTTCCCCATAATTCAAATCGATGATATCATGACAATGAAAATGAAAATAAAAAATAAATGACAAGTCATAAAATAAGTGAAATATTCCAACCTTTGGAGACTAATTGTCAAAAATTAATTTAAAATAAGACCAAAAACTAATTTTAAAAGTAAGGGTAAATCACACGTTTAGTACTTAAACTGTCAGTTTTGATCCGTTTTAGTACCTAAACTTTTAGATTTTCAAAACCATAACTAAATATTAGTTTTTGTTTCATTTTAGTATCCGTCGTTAAAACTTTAGTTTTTGTTTCATTTTAGTATCTCGTTCGAAATTTAATGTTAAGTTTTGAAAAATTAAAACTTTATGTATTAAAACGGACCAAGACTGATAGTTTAAGTACTAAACACACACGTTAAGTTTTTTAACAACGGCTACTAAAAATGAAATGAAAACTAAAAGTTCGGTATGGTTTTAAAAAAATTGAAAGTTTATGTACTAAAACGGACTAAAATGATAGTTTAGGTACTAAATGCACTATTTACCCTTAAATTAAAAAAAAAACACACGCAAAAGAAACTTTATAGCCTATTTGCAGAAAAGGAGATGGGGTAACTTTAACTTTTGATCATTGCTCACAAGTGGGGTTTCGTGTGGATTTACTCCTTACGTCGCATAATTAATTTCTCTAATCTATCTTTATTAGATTAACAATGCAATATTAGTGGGAGATTAACAAATGTTGAATAAAAAATAAGTAATTATAATTATTAAAAGACGAAATTTGATCGGATTGAATTCAAATTCAGGATAAAAATCTTTGACCGACCAATGAAAATAATATAATTATCTCTTATATTTAGATATGATCATAATATTACTCATATCTCTATATTTTTTTTAATTATGTCTCTATTTTACTAAATAAAAAGACTTTTTATACAAATATGTACCATGTAAGGTTGGGTAGATTGCAAATTTTACCTAAAAATAAGTCAGATTTTGAGTCGGGTAAAGCCTCTCTAAACTCAATTCAAGTGGTGGGTGGATGATATAAAATTCAAATCGAACTCACATAGGGTAAAAAACTCCATTTGACTAAACCCATGTCTATCCTTAGTTTACATCACTCAAATATGGATTTTATAAATCAAAATACAACATGAAATATAATTAATATTTTAATTAATTATTAGCATTCAATAATAATATGTCACGAGTGATGTTTTTGTTAAGTAATTTTTTTTAGTTAAACTATGACGAAAATGATATTCATGTACCAAATGAGTCAAACAAGCTATAGATGCCCAAATACAATAAATGATATATTTGGAGGACCATATTGTATATTAAACCTTTTTAAATTTTATGACGTATTGTGATTGTTTTTGTGTATTTTATTTACGTTACCAAATTTACGTTCGAAACGGAATATGAAACTGAACTCAAACGTGTAAATTGAGCGATGGGAGCTGATAACGTAAGTGGATCCCACGACATTAACGCATAATTGGACTATATTGATAGGTTAAAATATTTATGAAAGGTATGAATATTGATAAATTAAATAAAAAATATTATAGATCAAATGTAACTTTTTAAAATACAATAAATGACAATAAAATACTAACAAATGTGGTTTTGGATAAAAGATTATGCATTATTAGTAAATTTTACTATAAAGAAAATAGATAAAACGGTGAATTATGCCCTATAGTAATATAATTTATCATTTTCGTTATTATCGTATTTTCGCACCAATTTAACCTTCAAATCTGTTTAATTTCATCATTTTATATATTAACCCTAACTAAAATCTTGATTTTAAAACCCTAAAACCTAAATCACGACCTTCTAACTTCTAAACCATAATCTTTAAATCTAAACTTAAACCCTAAATAATAGTAAATATTTTAAACATTGATGTAATTGAACAGCTTCGAGGGTTAAATTGATGCGAAAATACGATATAGATGAAAATGATAAATTATGTCTACTACAATGACAAAAATAACCTACAATCTTTAAACCCTAACTTAAACCCTAAATAATAGTAAAATTTTAAAGATGGATGTAATTGAGTAGCTTCGATGGTTAAATTGATGTGAAAATACGTTAGAGACAAAAACGATAAATTAGGTCTTCTACAATGACAAAACTAACCCTTTGACCAAAGAAAATATATACAAATAGACATATAGATAAATAAATCATTCTTTTAAAGTTTAATTCAATAATCAACTCTTAAATTATATTTTTAGTTAGATATTTTAATTATTTTAATAAAGTCAGATATTCAAATTAGATTTACTTTTTGAATTAGATATCTAAATCTAATATTAATCATTTTTAGTCGCAAGAGAAATTGTTGAGCTAAAATTAGTTCAATAATTTCAACAAGTCTTGTCATCATTGGATGATATGAACTTTCAAAATGGGGCATCACTTTATCATTATAATGAAATTTCTCACAATTCAATCGTATTGAAAACCAAAGGACCTTTTTTTTTTTTGCACTTTAATGACCTAACTATGAAGCTCCATTTATTGACACTATCTAAATTTGGCAGCTAATTAGGTTTTACATGTAGATATACTACAAGAATTCCGAATATATTTTTTAATATAATTACATTATAATTTTTTTAAATTAAAATTCATTTTTTATAATTGATTTAGTTTATCATTATATATATTTCTCAAAAAATTAAACTAAAAATTTATTATTTTTAAAAATCAAAAATACAATTTTATCATTGATTTAGTTTTATAATTTTAAAATTTAAAAGGATTAAACATGATATAGTTCTTATAATGTAATAGCATTAATTAAGTATAAACATAATAAATATTAGGGAAAATTATGCGTTCAGCACATAAACTATTAGTTTTGGTCTGTTTTAGTACTTAAACTGTCAAATAGGCTATCAACAACTACGTCTAAAGTTGTCGGCCATTGTATTCGTTGGCTAATGAAGCCCAAACTTTCCAACCCATACCTTTTCAACCCCTGAACATGATTATGATTTATGTTTCACCGAAAAATGCTTTAATCTCTTAAAATTGACAATGGACTCTTTGACTTCTTCATCTTTCGATCTCCGTCGACAATCGATGGGCCTGAAACTTGACTGACTCGTGATCCACCGTTCGAATTGATTGTCCATCCACTGAAGCTATGCCCCGTCAACCCATCCGTTAAGTTTTTAACGATGGTGTACTAAAATGAAACAAAAACTAAATGTTAGCTGTGATTTTGAAAAAATAAAAATTTATGTACTGAAAGACCAAAATTGATTTTAGATACTAAACACGTAATTTACACTAAATATTAACAATTAAAAGGAAAACTCTACTTGTATATATGATTAGAAAAAATGGATTATGAAAATTCATAAGAAGGACGGTTGTTACCACAAAACAGAAAGCAACATAATTTTTGGAGACCGTCACTTGTAATTTTTGGAGGAGACCGTCACTTGTAATTTTTGGAGGTGCAATCCACGTCTGACTGAGTGGAATCGGAACTGCTGACTCAACCTCACCACATTTCATTAGACAAATTATCAGCTTTGTATACCAATAATAAACCATTATTTATTACAATATTTATTTCATTAAAATAATATCTTACCCTTTAAAAAATACTTTAGTAAATTATTGAAAGAAATAACTTAGAACAATTTATCCGGTTTAATTTTTGGGCAAATTACACGTTTAGCGCCTAAATTACCAGTTTTGATTGTTTTAGTATCTAAACTTTCAATTTTTTAAAAATCATGTCTAACATTTAATTTTTGTTTCATTTTAATACACGTCGTTAAAAATTTAACGCGTTTAGTACCTAAACTCAGAGGCGGAACATAGTGGGGACTAGTGGGGAGAGATCCCCAAAAAAATTATGATTTAGACCCTTAGATTAAAAAAAATCCCAACACAATTTTTAAAATTTAGATTAAGCTTTTTTTTAATGTTCTTTATTGAACCCCTCTCATAATTTGAAAAAAAATCTCATTAAGTTTCTCAATTTTTCAAAAATTTTAATTAGACCCAATTTTTTTTAAGAAAGTATAACTTGGTCCCTTCAAAAATTTTGAAAAAATTAATTTAAACTTCTAAATTTTTTTAAAGTTTTAAGTTGGCTCCCAAACTCTATCACCGAGTTCCGCCACTACCTAAACTATCAATTTTTATCCATTTTAGTATCTAAACTTTTAAAAAAAATTCAAAATTTAACGTTAAGTTTTTAATGAAGTACTAAAATGAAACAAAAATTAAACATTAAACATGATTTGAAAAATATGAAAATTTAGATACTAAAAGAACTAAAATTGATAGTTTAGATACTAAAAAAATTAAAATTAATAGTTTAGATACTAAATACATAATTTACCCCTAGTTCTTTTCGTAAGTTCGCGTTTCCTATACTGTTTCGTTTGGAAATTCCAAGAGCAGTAGATCTCCCGTGGGGACCCCACTTTGTGGACCCATTCGGTATTTAGTACAAAAATAAATCACTTTAAAACTAAAACCAAAATAAAAGGTTTATATAACAAATACGTACCTAAAGTATATTATCTTTTCATTTAAGTATCTAAAGTATTTTATGATTAAAATAAATATTTAAAGTTATATTTTTTGCAAAATACGTACGTAAAGTATTTTTTTTAATCAAAATAGACACTTAAAGTATTCAATTTTTACATCTAAGTACCTAAAGTATTCTTTAATTAATGTTACATATCAACCTTTTTAGAACTTAGATGAAAATTTGAATAGTTTAGGTACCTATTTTGACACAAAATACTTAGGTAACTATTTTAACTAAAAAAATAACTTTAGGTACTTATTTTGACTAAAATATACTTTAGATGCTTAAAATAAGTAGGTATGCCTTAAGTACTTATTTGTGATATAAGCCAAATAAAACCCCATAATTTATTTTCCTCTATAAATACTTCCACAAGCTACAAGCAATCCCCAAAGACTCACCGAAAATCCAAAAAGAACCACCAAAGCTTCCTGTTTTCAATTATTTCAAAAAAAATGGCAGCAAGAGAAACGTATAATGCGACGGCGAGGACACATTCGGAAGTGGACAATCTTCACCCATCGCCTTGGCAGTCGCCGGTACCGTACTTATTCGGCGGGTTGGCCGCCATGCTGGGTCTCATAGCCTTTGCTCTTCTCATCCTCGCGTGTTCTTATTGGAAGCTGTCGGGTTATTTGGAGGACGACGGGTCATCGGAGCAAGCCGAGGGAGACTTGGAAGCCAGGGAAGGTAAAGGCGGAGATGACGGTGCTCGGCTCAGGCCGGTTATGGAACCCAAGGTTCTTGTTATAATGGCGGGACAAGTGAAGCCGACCTTCTTGGCCACCCCCATTGGCTCTTCTACCCGGTCCTTCTCCTTTGGTGACAACGGTGAAAGGAGATGCTGCTGCAGTGATGATAAGGGAATGAACAGGTCGGTGACGCCGGTGGCGGCAGTGATCGTCGTGAGAGTACGGAGGCGCAACGATCGTCGTCAAGGCAGGACCTTTGATGATGATTGAGTTTTGTTTTTTTATTAAAACGGAAAAAGGTGATGGGGGTTGTATATCAGCTTTTGGGCTTGCAATTGCATGCTCTATCGATGTTAGCTTTAGTTTTTTTTTTAAGTATAACCATAATTTTGATCTATTAATCGATTTATTGACTTAAATATTATAAAGATGAAAATATCCTTCTAACTTAATTTATTTCATTCATAAGCAACAAAATTTGAATATCTAATTTTATTTAAAGAATTTAATTTCTAATCCTATTAACATGTCAGGATAGCTTTAGCTTTTAGATATTTTTTTGTTTTTCTGTTATTTGGCTTTTTTCTCTTTTCCTTTGAGGGTGTTTGGTTCACGGAATGTAAGATTATCAGTGGGAATAAAAGATTACCAGAAATAGAATTACTGGAATGTTGTATTTTGTGTTTGGTTGGTTTAGTAGGAATGTAAGATTACCTTGTTTGTTAAAAGAATAAAAGATTATTGAAATATATATTTAACTAAATTGTCATTATTATATATCTGTTTTTATCAAATTGAAAAATATTTATATATTTTCTTTAAAAAATTTAAATTCATAAAATTTATATATATTTTTTACAATTGAAAATATAAAAAGGTTTAATGAAAAGTAAAATTTTATTTTAACTCCTGAACTTCATATAAAATTTTAATTATAGATTTTTTTTGTAAATCTAAAATAGTTTAAGAATAAATTTGTAATTTAACTTTCGTATAATTTTTATTATTCAATGACATAATAAGTATATTTTTTAAAGAAAAAAAATAAGGGCATTTTAATCCAAAACGCCGGTAATCCAACAATACCTAAGGAAATGGAAATAATGACATTCCCAATAATATCCCAAAAAATTCACTATTAATATAAGATTACCGGAATGACATTCCTGACCAACCAAACGAGAGAATGTGGATTCCATTTCATGGGAATCTCAATGAAATCCACATTCCCCAGCCAAACACAATGGGATGCGGGCAAGGAATTCACTTTCCTCTTTCTGTCCTAGTTTTTTTCACATCAATTTGTTAAATTTTAATATATTTAATATAATTATTGTTATACTTATTTGAAAAATATATAAATTTAAGGGTAAATTATAAGTTTAGTATTTAAACTATCAATTTTTTTATGTTTTATAACTTAAACTTTTTTTTAAAATCATACCTAAAATTTAGTTTTTGTTTCATTTTAGTGCATTGTCGTTAAAAACTTTAGTTTTCATTTCATTTTAGCACCCCATTCAAAATTTAACGTGAAGTTTTGAAAAATTAAAAGTTTTGATACCAAAACGGACCAAAATTGATAATTTAGGTACTAAATGCGTTAAGTTTTTACGGTGAGTATTAAAATGAAATAAAAACTAAACATTATATATAGTTTTTAAAAATAAAATAAAAATATAGGTACTAAAACGAACGAAAATGCAACACATTCACAATATCACTCTCAATAATTCAATTTCTCTTTTAAAGTGCAGTATAACTTAGACTATGCCAACCCTTACTAGATACACTATAATGTATTTTTCAATGGAAATAAATTATATTTGTAATAACAATAATTTTATAAATTTAGCCATGAACTCCAATCATTAATAACAGGCTTGATCAAGATTACACACATAAAGGAATGTAGGTCCAAATCAACAACTTGAGATCATAACATGAAGGGCAAAATTGACCCAATACACCAAGCGGATAAATTATTTATGATATTAGGCCAATTCAGAATTTATTTTTGAATCTACGACATTTGTTACATGATTTAAAGAACTCGTTATGTCGAGGTCACGAGTTTGTCCAAATAATAATTTTTACTCAAACTCGTCCCCTCGAGGTGTCGAGTTCCAATAACATATATATTTTATTAATTTTTATCACATTGGGGTAAAAGTTTAAAAATAATATTTTTATTGAAACTCGTCACCTCAAGATGATGAGTTTCATGCACTGTAACTAATGTCGTAATTTCAAAATAAATTCTAGAATGGCCTAATACCCTAAATAATTTACCTGCTAGGGGTATTGGGCCCATTTTACTACCATGAAGTCCTTAACATATTTGATCAATCAAAGTAAAAAGCCCGGTTGTGAATAGAACACCGTGAGAGTTTGGGGCTTTGGCCCATATATGGAATATAATTTAATTATGAGTAAATTAGGCGTTTATTAATTAAATTAACAATTTTAATAAGTTTTGATATCTAAATTTTTAATTTTTTTAAATCATACCTAAAGTTTAAATTTTGTTTCATTTTAATATTTGATGATAAAAACTTTAGTTTTTATTTCATTATAGTAACCCGTTCAAAAGTTAACGTTATGTTTTGAAAAAATTGAAAGTTTAGTTAATAGAACAAACCAAAACTAATAGTTTAAGTACTAAAACAACTCAAAACTGATAATTTAGATAGATACTAAACGTGTTAAGCTTTTAACGACAGAGTACTAATATGAAATGAAATGAAACTAAACCTTAGGTATGATTTTGAAAAAAATGAAAGTTTAAATACTGAAATAGAATAAAATTGACAGTTTAAGTACTAAATCATACCAAAATTGATAATTTAGATACTAATGCATAGTTTACCATTTTTTATTAATTATATTGAACCAAGTTAAACATCACTAATTAGGGTGTGTTTGGTTCACGGGATGTAAGATTACCAGTGAGAATAAGATTACTGGAATGTTGTATTTTATGTTTGGTTGGTTTAGCAGGAATGTGAGATTACCGTGTTTGGTTAAAGGAATAAAATATTATTGGAATGTATATTTGACCAAATTATCCTTATTATATATATGTTTTTTTAACAAGTTAGAAAATATTTATATATTTTCTTTAAAAATTTAAATTCATAAAATTTATATAATTTTTTTACAAAATTAAAAATATAAAAAGGTTTAATGAAAGTGTAAACTTTTATTTTAATCCCTGAACTTCATATAAAAATTTAATTATATTTTTTTTTGTAAATCTAAAATAGTTTAAGGATAAATTTGTAATTTAAACTTAGTAAAATTTTTATTATTAAATGTCAGAATAAGGATTTTTTTAAAAAGAAAATTTTTTTTGAAAGAAATTTTTTTTAAACATTTTAGTCTAAAAAGCCGGTAATCCAACAATACCTAAAGAAAGAGAGGTAATGACATTCTCGATAATATACCCAAAAATCACTATTAGTAATGTAAGATTACCGGGAATGACATTCCGACAATGATATTCTTGACCAATCAAACTAAAAATGAATTTCACTCCCATTAAAATTTAACATTTCCCTAACCAAACAAACAGAAGGGAATCACATAATAAGCCCTCTCAAGACAAAAGGAGAAAGGACTTCTTCATTGTTGTTTTTTTCTTACAGGACTGCAAAGCAAATGTCTGTTTGTTCAGATTATGATCTGCTGCCCTGATGATCAACGGCTAACAAAAACTCAGCCGATACACTAATTTTACATCAATATCCATAATTAAAAAAAAACCCGGACATCTGGTGTTTGATCATCTGACCTCGAAATACGGGACGACGCCGTAGTGCGCTGGCATGTAAAAGCTGCCGCCTTCGCCGCTGCAGGCGAGTTATAGATGTGGTCAACTTGGGTTCTTTTGACGAAACGGCCTTTGATTCTCGGCCTTGTCTCGGCGTATCGAACTGTTTTCTTGAATTTCCTCTTCTTTCTCTTCTCTCTGAATCTCAAAACCCTAGCCTCTCGGTCCATTCCGCCTGATTGAGCTGCTTGGCCGTTGCCGGTTTCTGCCGATACGGCTATGCTCCGATCAATCACAGCTTCTCCCAATGGGTACGACATATCTGACCGGGAATTCCCGTCCGAAACTACTCCAAATTCAAACGAAGACGACGGTGAAACAGAAACCTGAAATTGTTTATCGTATTCGAATCAACAGTGATCGATTTAAACAAGTTCAATTTTTAAAAATAAAATTGGGATTGGAGTATGTACACTATGGCTTAGAGACTGAGATTGGCAGCTGAAGTCAACGTGGAAATAATTTTCAATTCCATCGTTGAGCACCGGAATTATTGTTGCTGCTGCTGCTGGTTTGATCTGAACCGGAACTACGCCGTCCATGGCTTGCCGTTGAAGCTGAAACGGATCGTGGTACTCGAGATCCGTAAACGGATCCGTTTGGGAGAAGCGCAAATCCCCTGTTTTGACCTGATTCGTTTCCGATCCGAGTCTGGGCAACGCCCATGAACCGATCACATCTTCTTGCTGATGATTCGAAGCGTCGAGGAAAGGATCGACAGGGACACGGTGGTGGCGACGAGCCAGATGGTTGGCGGAGTGGATATCGACGTTGCAAGCGACGCAGAGGGCGGCGGCGTCCGCCTTACAGGTGAACGCCACTGGGGCTTGCTCGCACACCTCGCACATCCATATCCTCACCGTTTCCGATTCCATCATCGGAGCTCAAAGTTTTTTTTTATTTGGGGAAGAAACGTGGAGTTCTGTACGGGATGATTTTGAGGATTTTGTTTGTTCGGCTTAAGTTTTATCAAAATCGGACTAGATATCAGTTGAATTGTGAATTGGTGATCTGTTCTATTCAGTTATCTCACAAAATTGATTTGTAATGAATCGGTTGAAAACCGATAGAATCGATTGAAAATCGGTAGAATTAGGGTGAACCGACTGAAAATCTACAAAATCGATTTAAACCGCCGGGTCACTTTTTTCTTTTATAAAAAATTAAACCAAACGACGTCGTTTGTTCAACGAGCTAAGTCAAATTCGAGTATTGTTGAGTTCGACTCGAACTCGAAAACTTTAAAAGTAACCTCAACTCGACTCAAAAACTCACGAGCTAAAAATTATTAAGTTCAACTCGAACTCGAAATATAATATTAAAACTTGAACTCGAAAAGGCTCGAATTCAAAAAAAATTTAAATGCTTGATTGAAGCCTAAAATTTGAGCTCAATTGAAGCGAAAGAATAGTTCTCTATGTGCTCACCAAAAGGCTCCATGATTTTGAATGTCAAATTACCTCTATTATTTATAGAAGTAAGTTAGGATGCTCTTATATGATTCTTAGTCATGTGAGAATTATTTTTTAAAAAAATTAAACCAAATGACATCATTTGTTATGAATTTTT